AAGGATAGAGACAATTTACACCATGGATGCAACTAATAGCCCTATTTTAAAAAACCCAATGAGCAAATAAACCATTTAACGTCATCCTAATGCATTTTTCAGAAACATGAGATGCACTAATTAATGAAAAGTTGAAGATAAAAATAAGTCAAAAGGGTTAGGAATATAAGTACTACAGTAAGTGCTTGTTTGGTAGAGATTTTTGGGGGAAGAATTGATTTTGAATAGTGATATGANAAGAATTGATTTGAATAGTGATGTTATGGGAAATGTGTGGTTGAAAAAGAAGAAAAAATTATTGATGTGATGGAAAATATTATTTTATTGAAGAATGTGTGGTTGAAAATGAGAATTGATTTTGAGAATCAGAAACAAACAATCCCTAAATAAAGATTGAAAATTTTGAATATAATTAAAAAATCTGTCGCAAGTATGCCGTATGAATATAGTATGATAATATTCAGACCCATGGATCATAAATTGTAACCCTGATACGATACCCGCCCAAAAAGAAGAAACCAGACGAGCGTTGGCCAACCAGAGCCCTAGCTATATAATAACCTCCCCATATATCTAACCTCGCACAGTACAAGCCCGTCTCCCCACAGTTTTTGCGCGTCCGGCACCTATAATCTCTTTAAAGAACAGTACATTTTCTCTCTCTCAGAAATCTTATCGACGTTTATATTTTGTACTAATTAATGCATATTTTTCGGCTTATATATGTATGTATATTTATTTGTTGTTGATCTGTATGTATGTGTAAGCAGAGATGAAGGTTGTAGCTGCCTACTTGCTCGCCGTTCTGGGAGGCAATGCCTGCCCTTCCGCCGATGATTTGAAGGACATCCTCAGCTCTGGTATTTATCTTCTTTCACTCTTCTTCTTCCACATCTTTGAATATACCCTTGAAATATACGTTCTGCGTGTATATATGTTTGTGCATAGTGTATAAATTATTTTATTTTTTTTCGAAAGTTAGGATCATTAGTTAATGTAACAACTAACAGTTGCATTGAGATTGTTATTGATCTGTTGTCTGAGTATGTGAGATTTGATTGGTTATTAAATTGTTATATTATCATAAAGGCGAGGGAATTATGGCGATTAGTGTTTTCTTCTGCTGTTTGTGATGAAAGAACTAGAGTGTGTTTTGTTTCCGAATTTTATGGCGCTTTTTGTTTAAATGATAAAACCCGTTGAATATCAATGTGAGAAATTTGTATGGAACAATATAACTTTGCAAATGATTCTCTTGTAATATAAATCATATTCTTGTAATGGTTTCCCAGGATAATGTGGACATGAAAGTCTATTGCAATTGTTTGATTGTTTAGAGGTGTATGTTATCTTATTCTCAAGTTTCCCCTGGTGTTTCTTTTGGGGTAAACTCTTGCACGACCAATTGAATCTTAAGTAATATTATTGTTACGGCTAATGTGCTTTGTGTTAGATATCCGGTAATGACGCTCTTGTTTCTCACTTGTTATTCTTCTATTGAACTGTGCAATAATCTCTTTGGTTGAGTTTGTTTGAAACTCTAACATGCCCACAAGAATTCCCTTCATTAATTCTTTTTGCTCAATCTTTATTCGACACATTTTGGTGACAAGTTTTGCATTCTTTTTTCTCCCACACAAGAATCAATGATTTTCTTTCCACGTTGACAGAGATATTTTCCCTCTGAAAGTTTTTCTATGCTGCAATAACTTATGTTTGACTTGTCAATATCCAGTAAATGTTGTGTTTTCTGATATTAGCATCAATTTTCCTTGCACCTTGTGCCTAACTCTTTTCATTTTTCATTTTATATGCAGTTGGAGCTGAAGCTGATGGTGATCAGATTGGGCTTCTTTTGACTCAAGTTCAGGGAAAAGATATCACTGAGCTCATTGCAGCTGGAAGAGAGAAGTTGGCATCTGTACCAGCTGGAGGTGGTGCTGTTGCAGTGGCTGCTTCTGCTGCCGGTGCTACTGGTGGTGCAGCTGCTCCAGCTTCAGCTGAGCCCAAAAAAGAGGAAAAGGTGGAGGAGAAAGAGGAATCAGATGATGTAAGTCTTTCTACAAGTAATTGCATTTGAAATGGTTGTCTTATCTGATAGTTCAACTCAAAGTATTCACTCTCGTTGAGGAGTTCATCTGTGTCGAAACCTCTTTAAATTGAGTTCAATCGATACATGAGATTGCATGTGAAGGTTTTGATTGGTTTGGGCGCAGTTAAATTACAGTTCGTTGAGGGTGAATTATGATGCAGTTCCTTCGGTTTCCTATTGTAAGCTTTTACTTGTAATGGTCACGAGAAGTTCTTTGATAGAAAACAGTTCATTTTATCCACCAACGACTCCATAACTCCGATTCACATATTGAACCTCGTAGCTGTAATTTTTATTAATTGTCTTCTTAAACTGTGTCATGGAAGCAGTCCTTTTGGTTTTCTAGTGCAAACACACTTGTTACCAGACGTAATTGTTTATACATATCCATTTGGACAGCATTTCACATCCACTCATAACAATGGACCGTCTAGGTGTGATTTTTTATTGATTAAATTAAAGTTTTATACATTCATATGAAAATTTGAATTTTTCCTCCTCTCTGTAACTCCGATACAGGTACTAATTGACAATTTCTGTTTTTGAACTTGCTACAGGATATGGGGTTCAGTCTCTTTGACTAAAGGGTTGCGGCTGAATAACTTTCATAATGGTACTCTAGTGTTTTCTTTAGTATTTGGTGTTCAATTAGATGAAAATTTCGACAATCTGAAAGTATTGCAATCAGCAACATCATTGTTGGTATTATTTTGATCAATAGATATGACTTTTACCATTTCTTTGAATATTTATTTTGCCATGTTTATTATATTTCACACGAGTAGCCATTCGCACTTCCCCCTTATATTTGACTTCCCTTTTAGTAATCGTGTTTGAAATTTCTACCTGCTTCGTGTAGCGATTGTTTACAGGGATTCTAAAATAGCTTCTCGAAAAATATTTGCCCCCTCGCTTGTGCTGTTATGGGAGTTTTGACTCTTTTTCAATTTCAAGACAACCAGTTCAGAAGGAAAAAATTCAGCATCATGTACATTCGGTTTCTACGAGGATAATCAATTGATCCAAGTTTCTATCTAATCAATCATAAATTTAGCTTAACCAACCAATCCTATTTGGAAGATTTTAGAGCCCAACCAAGTATAAATCACGCGATAATGCCTCTTGACATAATGGTCAACCTCCATATTTGGGGGTGGCAAGACTCGGTTTGGCCTGTAGACGTCTGAGCTCAGCTTGTGTTCAACTCTTATGATCGGCTTGGTCCTTTGGCTTGTAAGTCTAATGAGCCGAGCTATTCCATTTTTTAAAAATAAATTTACTAAATAAGCGTAAAAAGGAGTAGATTTTGTTAAAAATTGATAAAATAAGTTCAAAATGAGGAATAAAAAATGAGCCGATCTACGAGTCCAAACGAACCAGCTTGACTCCTGAAAATATGTGAACTCGACTTGCTTTCATTGCTCATGGCAAAATGAGTTCGAGCCACCCATAGATCAATTTGGATTGAACCGAACTCGCTAACTACTGGACCTATTTACAATCCCTATCCACAATGCAAAGGCCCCACTCACCGAAGAACCAATCCAATTCGGAATTTAAACTCTTATGATTTGATATAGTTACAAATTACAAATCCCAATCGATGTACAAAGTTCGAGGCACTCGTTCTCCTTAAATTACATAGTAGAGGACTGATGTATATCTTTATTCGAAGTCTGATCGAGTTTTTCCATTTTATTTGTAGGTAAAAGACAGGAACACAGTCACCACCTTCAATCTAGATACTTGGTACTTTAAGAATTTCAGTCCATATTTCAGTTGTGAATGCCATTGTCCGAAGACCTTAAAAATCTCATAAAATAGGAGGTTAAAATAAATAGTATTGCTACGTAGCTCTATTGTGATTACAACACCAATTTAAGTGACGTTAGATGATAGACTAAGGGCGTATTAGATAAAGATTAAAATTGGATTAAAATTGAAAAACTAGCCGTTATTATTGACTTTTATTAGATGATTGAGACCCAATAAAAACTATATTTTCAATTTTAATTGAATTCTAAACTTAGCCAAACATGCTCTAAATAAAAGGTCCACTCCAGTGAAAGCTAAACGATGTTACTCTTAAATAAAATTTATATATTACGCAGAACTGCAGATTCTCACGACTTCGATTTTGGTGATCAAGCTTCCCCGTATTCACTGCTTCAGTTTTTCGTTTCAAGCGACGTGCAAACAGAGGCGGATGCAGACCTTAAAAGTTAGTTAAATAATTAATTTTTTTAAAAAAAATGCGAGTTAGACGCCTCTTTTTAAGATGTACGTTTGACGCATCTTTAACTATTTTTGATATATGTTTGAACTATTCGCTATGNAACTATTTTTGATATATGTTTGAACTATTCGCTATGCTTATCAGCTTTTAATGTAGTCCTTGAAACGAGATTTGAGATGATATAAGTAATTTGTAAATTCGACTACTTTACGATCCTCGAAATTTTTTTTAAGTTAGCATGTTTTCGAAATTCTCGAAATACTAATTTTAAACTACCTACTTTGACAAGTCGTAACATTTGCTATGATTGGTCGTTTCGCACGCCGTTAACTACATAAAAAACTAGATTGTGAGCATTTCGAAATGGTATTAAGAATACACATAATTTCAATTTCCCACTTAATTGTACTTCCCTTCCCCCAATTGCCCCTTCCAATTTGAAATTATTCTTTACATAATTTTGTCTCGTTCTAGCTGAATCATAATTCTGAGTTCGCTCGAGATGTTACATAAATATGCATTACACGTTTCACTAATCTTATACAATAATCATTTTGTGAATGTAACCCTTACTTCTTCCCTCTATCTTTCTGTCTCTTTCTTCAAGTGCAAGGTTCTGTTCATATTCCGCAAACTATCTCAGAACTTGTGTTAATTTGTGGCAAACAAAATATGAATACTATGCATTATGATGATGATGATCAAATAGTGATGTGTGAGTTTGAGGCTGCCGAAGCTTTGGCCAGCTTGGCTTCAAACTCCACCGTGCGTGGCGGCGTTTTGGGTTCCGGTCGACAGAGTCAACGAGGGAAGTCTGAGGTTTACTTTTTAACTGCCGTCACTGTCTTAATTTCCTAGTAAAAGGAGTTATTGCATGGTGGCATCATGTTAATTTTCTTGAATAGGCATGCAGCTAAAACAGGACAATGTTTTTTTTTGGAACATTTCATTTTCTTCCATGTGCTTGTTTTAATCAATTTTGTTGTGCCAATCAGGCTGAGAAGGAAGCTCAAAGGCGTCATCGTATCTTAGCGAACAGAGAGTCTGCTAGGAAGACAATTCGCCAAAGACAGGTAAGATACGGATGGCGTATTGATGATGACGGATGAATTCTTGAATATGAACACGACAGATAAGATACATGCAGTTGTTTATCAGCAAGTTTTGACAGAGAATGTTGCCTAATTTGTTTAAAGAAATATTTGTATGATCTATCCTTCCACTAATGGGGAGTTAAACATAGAAGAAATGTCTTCACTGATGATATTTTTCTTTTCTTTAATTAGGCTACGTATGCAGATTTACTCAGAAAAGCAGCTAAACTTTCACTTGAGAATGAGAATTTGAAGAAGGTAGGTGGCACTACTTTTCCCAGTTCAAATACATTTAAATCAGTTTTTAGGCCTAGGAATAGCTTGAGAAAAATTGATCTATTGTATGAAGTTTATTCTTATAGAAAGTATCTGATCCTTCTTATATTTCACTATTTATTGATTCTTGTGTACTTTGTGACGAATTCCGGGAAGAAGGAAAAGGAGAGGGCGGTTAAGGATTATGATTATTTGAAAAACAAAAATGAATGCCTTAAATCAAAGGTAAGGCGTAGTACAGGATACTAATCTTGTTTGCGGAAATTTCTTGTTTGTTGACATGCACATCGAATCGCAGATGGCTAAAATAGCAGAAATTGAAGAAGAGTCGAAGAAGTTTGTTCAAGTACCAACCACCACTCCGATTTTCCCTTACAACCATCCTTCTATAGTGCCCTTTCTTTGGCCAGCCATCGGGATCCAAGGTTCCTCTCACTTTCCTATTCCCAGTAGGGATAATATACTCTGTTCATTTCAAGATCAAGAGCATGCCAAGAGGATCAATAAACAGGGAACGTCCTTATTTGTAATGCCTTTACCTTTTCACACCTCGAGTACTACACTTCATTCTCCAATATGTCCCAATGGCTGCTGTAACCATTCGTCTACAGAAACTGAGACAAATTCTGATCAGAACTACCAGTTAAGATCATCCCAGAAAACGAAATCAGAATCTTCTAAGTCAGCGGAAATTATGCCTATAGACCAACTAACCCCTAAACGAAAGAGCCGTACCAAATCCATTACGGATGACACTACTGGAGTCGATGCTGTTCCATCTGCTTCAAGAAGTACTGCACAGGACGTATCATCCAAGAACCGAAAACTAGTTATATTCTCTAGTAAAAGGTCGGGAAATGCTAACACGGCAGCTGAGGCGAGGAAGAGAAGGAAGGAACTGATGAAACTAAAAGTAATATACCCTTCCAGCGAAAGGGGGAACCCGAAGAATGGACTTTATGAAACTAAAATAAAAGCCATTAAGCGAGCATAAAGCTGAGGCTTGTCTATGAACACATGAAGCCCTGCAGAGAGATTGTAGGCATCCGCATTAATAGTCAGGATCATGAGCATTTTCGAAGTTAAATTCCAGTAAAATTTGAGGTTAGACACATTTTGAGCTAGATTTCTGTCTTACACGACTTCTTAATTTTGTATATAACCTAGGATTTGGTTGGACGCTGTTAATATCAAGCCGTAATTTCTGTGTGATCACTCTATTATGAATCGATATTTACTACTGACTTGATTTGATCATGGCAATTCGCCTCAAGCACGCCGATGTTTTGTTGCATTTTGGTTATCACGTATTAACATATTTATGAGCTTTTAGGACATGTTTAGTGCTGCTCGACTCGATATAATTGTACATTTGATAATCAGATTGTTAGTTGTCATATTCAATTTCACGTATTAAACAAGTCCTTAGGTTATTAATAAAATCCTGTACCAATGCATTACAAGAAATTATTCACGTGGACTTGGGTCGTGGGAACCTACGCTAGCTTGTCTAAGTCATGGGAGCCTTATTCTAGCTTGTCCTAATAGTAGCTAATTGAGTTGCTTGAACCGTTTTCTGTGTCATTTAAAATTGGTTGGAGTATGAAAATCTGTTCTTTTCCCAATGAATTTGCGATCGAATGCTTGAATCATTTTCCATGACTGTCCGGTTCATTGCAAGGAAACACCGGCCTTCCTTCTCCTTTCAAGGTTTAACCGAAAGAGAATCCAGTGCTTCACAAATTGTTGTAGGATAACGTTCATATTTTATTTTGATCAAAATCTAAGGCTTTCATTTGGCAAATTTGTAAATAATTTATAAAATTAATTAAAATTCATTTTTAACCATACATGTCTACGAAACCCTCAAATACTATTCACTTATATTATTTTTATTTATTTTTAAATTAAATCATTTATAAATTCTTCCCAAATGAATTATAAATTAGTTAGTTTTTAATTCTTGATGGTTTAACCATTTCACGAGTATCAGTTTTATTTTCAAATTTACTTGGTGAAAAAAGCAAACAAATTGATTGGGAAGGTTAGAGGTGGTGGTTCCGGCGTTTAGCTTGAACCTCTTAACCCATCCATTGGTTTGAAAAAAATCAGAAAAAAACATAAATATACGCACCAACTTTTATTAATGAAGCCCCATTTGGACGCTCAAACATTTAACCAAGTATTCCATGGGATGAAACACTTGATCAGTAAGAATAGAAAGATATGCACATCACTGCTAAAGAAGCTTTAAATATAAATAATGTAGAGATCTAAGATTCTAAGGAATGACACGGGTTTTGACAGATACTCACATTGCCGTGGGACACGTTGTAATAAAAAAATTCCAAAAAATTGTGTGCCCTCCTCCTAGTGTGAGTATTATGTCAGTCTGCATGTTAAAAATTTTCTGGCAGTGTAGCAGCTCTCAACTTTTAATGACATTCATTGTAAAGAACATATATAGTATGTGCTTCTTTAAGACCATTCAAAATTCTCAACGCGAGATGTATAGTTTAGAAGTATGTAAGGCTGGAACGTCTCCCTTCCTTAAGCTTGTGTATTTCAATTTTTTCCTCATCCCTTCATTGGATCTAGGTGAAGGCCTAAAATCCCAACTAGAGATTGACGGTGTGTTTGCTAAAAAAGAACATGATATCCGTAATAAGGAACGGATTAAAATCCGATTTTAATCTAAGTCAAAGTAAAACAATCAATATTAATCACATTTTTCAATTGTCCCATATCCTTTTAACCACACATTTCAAAAACTTATATCACAATCCACTAAAAATCTAATTTTAATCCCCACCAAACACCCACCAAACATTCAGTCAAAGAACAACAAACAGAAAACATCACATCATAACTAAAACTAGAAGAGAAATAACAAAAACATGCAGCTTAATTAAAGAGCAATTAATTAATGAACACCATGCAATTTAATTATTAAAAATTAAAAAAATCGTTCAAAGGTAGGTTGTAATGCTGTAAACACTGCACGCCATCCAGCTTCTGTTGGGTGTGAGCCATCCCAGAAGAATGCAGCTTTTGGGTCATTGCAGACTGTATACATTTTGGCACCGTTCTTGTCCACACTCCCGCAAAAATAGCCATTGCTTACTCCCATGCAACAGGGCTTCAATGGAGTATCAAATTTCAGATTTCCTGCAGTTCGGAATAATTAGAATTAGATGCAAGAACAAAGCACAAGAAGAGGGAGAAAAATTAAACAATGGGAAATGGCTGCATAACAAGCACAGTTTGTCAAGTTTAAAAATTACTATTCATTTCCATGTTATATAGCATGACGTGCGAGACGATTTAATGCAATGATAATATAGCTGTTTGATTTCAAAAGGCGAAACTGCCAACATTTCTTATCGTTTTTCATCATGAAGATTTTTTAACAACAAAACAAGTTCGAGATAAGCAAGTATTCACCTGAGTTATCCTTTTTATGATCGAGTACAGTCGTGAAAGAGCTGTAAAGATCAAGAACTAAAAACGCAGAATCTTGAGTCTCGTTATTCAACTTTTCTACTGCTTGCTGCAAAAGGAGGTTGTGGAAATTTACAGCCATGTTCTGAGTTTCATTGCATTGTTGGAACCAAGAACTTTTAGTGAATTGAGGGAGACATCCCAAAGGCTCCAAGGCCGTCACAGCTATTTTCCTTGCTCCCATTTCATGAAGGCGTTTTAAGTTCATGGCGAGTTGATTAATCACAAGAGGAATGAAAGTCTGCAAACCCTACAAAATAGAAAAGTAGTGCTTGGAAATTGTTGCAAAATAAATTTCAGATATTAGTTTTAAATTTACAAATATTTTGGTTACTACATTGTGGAAGACAAACAAGAAAGGCCACCCTTTGTCACAAGGAGGGAAAATTTACTTGAAATTTCATCAGAACAAATTCAAAGAAAAGGAGACATAAAGAAGGGATGAAGATATAACAAATTGTTAGGATTAGTACATTAAAAGCATAATCATATGTAATAATCGACACTATATATGAATAAATTTGTTTCAGGATAGGAATATAATCGACATTTTATGCTTTAACTCACACTTGAGCAAATTGAAAAAAAAAAATAATAATAAAAAAAATCCAAAGTCATATATTCATTGAGGGATGAACAAAGACACAAATACATTTTGCACAATGGACCATGTAAATTATAACTCAATTTAATGAGCATTGATGAATTCAATCTAACTTGACGCTGACTAGCCTAAATTCTGAATGGATAATGAACCTTGTTCATGAGCTTGAACTTTTTGAATGTTAAGAGTAAGATTAAGAAGTGATAAATACATCGACATCTTGAAAGCTTTGGTGAGACGAAATTATCACATTCTATTGAGGGATGAACAATCCTAAAGTATTTTCTTATATTCGGAATAATCCAAGCTCAATAATTTAGTAAAGAGTTTTAAATTTGTGTGAGATGGTCGTAAGAATCCATTAATGGTAAATGATACTTGAGGAGGAAGAGGTCATGGAAAGGATAAATAGGTAATTTTGCACTTAAAACTTAAAAGTCCAATTATGGATGTTAGATAGAAGTAAGACGTTGCTACCATTGATCGCACGAATTATGTAAGTATAGTTACACGAAATCCAAGAGCGCAATCTTGAGCTTCTAGTGAAGTAGATGACAATTATTGAAGTAAAATAAACTTCTATTTCTAAAAAAATTAACCATCGATATCTCAAGGATTGCACCTTCTGAAGTAAGTAGATTTAATTAATTGATGCTGAGAAAAGGCAAGAAAGACAAATTTGACATAATGCATGAAATTGAAGGCATGTTTGGATCAAATTAAAATCTGATTTTAATTTAAATCAAAGTCAAACAATCAATATTAACTACATCTTTCATGATCCCACATCTTTTTAACCACACATTTCAAAAACTTCTATCACAATCCACTAAAAATCTAATTTTAATTTTCACCAAACATCCTTTGAATATAGTACCTGGGAAGTGCCATTGTTGGCTAAATAAGCACCATAATCATTTCCAGCAAGAGCCACAAGAACCAGAGAAGATTGCAAGTCCCATTTGGTGTAGACTGAATCATTATTCATGAGTTTCTCGAAGAAATCGATTTGGGTGCTCATATTTGGTAACAAATTGTAAGTATTGAACACACCACTCCCTCCATAAGCAAAGTTCATCCCATAGTGCAGCTTTTTCTCTCCCAATTTCATCCATATGTATGATATTGGAGACTTGAGTCCCAAGTACTTGGCTGTTCATTTTATATGAGCACCACAAATTAGAAGTGTTATTTATGCATTAGCAAAATATTTGAATTATACGTAATAAACTTACACATAAACTTACTAAATATCGTAAATTATGAGCAACACGATTCTTGATTAGTTTTGAGAGAAAAGTAGAACAACGTGTCATTTGTGAACGACGGACTTACAACGGCCGTGAAAGAGAACGTGCAAGGTTTTATTGTTTGTAACTAAGAAGCTATAGCAAATTGCTTAATTTTATTTGTTTACGCAACCTTTTGGTATAGGTTAAGTCATAATTCATACATAACTAAGACGATACGTGCAAATTGTGCATTTGGGGTGTTAGGATATATGCTTAGTATGTTAAATCGAGGATGAGTTGATGTCACTAAATGTGAGAAAAGTATGAGATAAGTTTAAAATGAAATATGTCAAAATAATATAAATTAGGGAGTGGAAGGTAAAGTGACAAATATATTACTATTTGGAAAAAGGGTTATTGCGGTCCTGGTGAGTTAAAAAAAGTGATTTAGACTATGAAAAGCTGGACGTAAATATCAATTAAAGTACTAAATTATTAATGAAAAAACAAAAGCTCAAGTGAAAAAGTAGTAACCCCAATGAAAAAAGACGAAAAATAATGCAGACAAGAACTAATGACAAGAAAAAGAAAAAGGAAGAACCAGAGAGAAACCACTCAATAATGCTGCAAAAGTAGGAATTAGTACTTGCAGTAAGTACGTGGGGGTGGGGTGGGGTCGCTACCTATCCACCTTACACAAAGTAATCACATGCAGGTTAAACAACTAGAAAGATAAAGCAAAAGAAAAAGGGCACAATAATAAAAAAATCACAATTGAAAAAAGGTATTAAAGAAAGAAAAAAAAAGGGAGGTAGATGATGGAGTCTACTGTACCAAGGTAATCGGTGAGAACACGGCCATCGGAGAATCGACCGGCAGGTTTTCCGGGAAAAGTGGTACCATAGGGTTCCTTCCAAGAGTTAGCTAAAGACTTCCTGACATTCCCTGTATCAGCATAGGAGTCCCCAAATACAAATAGTTTTGATGGTCGAAAGCCGTATAACTGATGCTCGTCATGAAGATGACGACGATTATGATGATGACGACGACTATGATGAGGCAAACCTTGGACACACAGATACCCTGCACACACATAAATATATACACATACTTATATATATAACGATGATGATCTGAGATGAATCTTAGAGATGGGCACGTACCAGTAGTGGTGAGGAGCAAGCAGTGGAACAAGGAAAGAAAAAGATTTGGGAGTTCCATTGAAGAGAATTAATGTGGTGATACTGGTTAGGAAGAAGAATTACATATGGAATCTCAAGATGTGATGGAAGATAAAAGTGACATCCAAATCAATTCTAAGTGCTTATATACTATGGCCGTGATGGGGCTCCAATAATTGAGATGAGATGAAGGAACTCGCGTTCTTTTGAATTTTACTATGAAATATTTTGGATAGGGTTCCGTCTAAAAGGAAAAGAGAATAATATTTTTGTTGAAAATTGGTTTTATTAGTTGGTTTATGACAAATTATTTAAGCAAAACCCATAAGTCGGATACGAGAGTTTTTGGGCCAAATATATTCTACTCCACGAGTAATAATCATAGAATGTTTAGTTCTTTGAAACCTTGTTTTGCTCTTCAAAATCGTTTTTTAGTGAATGAGAAATTAAGGTCAAATGTAAGAATTGGGAAACTTGGAACACATCGGAATTTTAGAATTGGAAATGATGGTAATTGGCTAATAATTCAGAAATGGCTTTAGAGAAGAACAAAGTAAATTTGATGTAGAGATGTGTCAATATCTAATCTCGTAGGGGATCTAAGAGAAATGTGATCATTTTCTATATATTTTTAATTTTAAACTAACTATTGACCTTCAAAAAATAATAATCACATGCAAACAAAATCATATAAACCGCCACAATTAGTAATAAGTACCGGGGTTCATGTCAAATGTTATGATTGAGAATGTTAGTCGATTGGCCATGACGACTATTCAGTCGGTCATCCTTCTAGGTAGTACTTAGTTATGACTTAACATTCCAAACCTAGCAGACAAACTAGTCCTTAAACTTTCAATTACGATCGACCAAGATAAAATTCTCTAACTTAGTCACGATATCAACGTAGCTATTAGATATCTCCTCAAGTATTTTTTTTTTTAGGACTGTCCGTAGGTCGGTTCGGTTCGATTTTGAAGAGACCTGAACCGACTCAAAACTTTCGGGTATTTAATAAATGGACCGTCGGGTCCAAATATAATTATGGAACCGTTCGGGTTCGGTTCGGGTCGGTTCCGTACCATAATTAAATTTTTTAATATTTACAGCAACACTACATAAATACAACTAATGACATTTTCATTCATAATTTTTACAAATTAACGCAACTCAATTCCAAAACATATAAATAACTAGCTATCCAATAAGAGTAATTCAATGCATACAAATACCAAAAAGTAGATATTAATATTACAGTAACACTAAATAAAGTATGTTCATTTGCTTCAAATTAAAATGGGCAAATAGGCTTTAAAAATGATTTGTACTTTATAATTAAAATTATGAAATAATCTGATTTATTTAATTAATTT